TATATATATATATATCGTCGAGTTTGTCGCATATGGGAAAGGAAGCGCGTTTAAAGGAATACCATCGACGTAATTTATTGTAGAATGACGGATAAAAAATACAATTATTATTGATGCAAATAGGGAAAAAAATATAAAATTGTGATTAAAGATGTATCGATTAATACGTGTAATTCTTCAAATGTATTGGTGAGGCACTGCCTCATCTGCCTCATAGGACAAGCCGCCCCTGCTTTAAAGCGTTTTTAATTTCAATTTAACGTGTCCGCCACAAAAGGCAAACAAAGTTATCGACGAACGCTGTCAATTTCCCAAGCTTTTTCTCGGTTTTCCTCTCCAGCACAAAACATTTATGGCTGCGCTTATATTCAAAGAATACTCTTTATTATCGTGCCAACATAAAACCAACCGAATATGACACAAAGTATGTTATTCTCGCATTTATTTTAATAAATCCTTTCGCCTGCTTTTTGAGATAGCGTTTTGAATATCTATCTTTGACGCTATCTCTTTTTGAGATAGCGTCATTTATCAAGTCGGCTCCTTGATAAAATAATATTTGATGTTTCGTTGTCCCTAACAAAAAAAATATAGTGAAAATTTAATGGTAAAAAGTTTTTTTTTCTTTGTTAAAAATTAGGGTGATTTGTTATACAGGGTGGTCCGAACTGTATTTCGGAAACTTCAACAGCATATTCTGTAGATAAAAATAAGTTAAAAATATCGTATAAATATATCGCCTAAAATGCTTAGTTTCGTAGATACATGTAGAAATTTTATTTTTATTTCGATTTTTTCCAAATAATTTCTAAAGCAAAGGCAAGTTTTTTGACATGATAAATTTGATTCTCATGTCAATGTGACTCCTACCTATAGAGGGCGCTGCCTACATATTTTTTAATTATTTTGAAGAGTAATATCTTTTCGTCCGTACCTGTATAAAGCTACCGAGTAAAAAATATACATTTAAGATATTTTTTACGTGAAAAAGATTTTTTTCAAAATATTCCAAATTTTCAATTTTTTATTTCGCGAAAAAACCTTAGGATTGTGTTTTTTGGGGTAGAAATATAGTACTCCTAAAATATTTGCACTTATTTAAGACTCCCCCTGTATATTAAATTAAGGATTTTATAATTTTTTTATATATTATATCAAGGATTTCTCGGTCGTAAGTTCTCAGAAATTTCTTTGGAGTCTCTCTTGAACCGGTAAAGGATTCCCATTCCATATTACGTATGGATATTGTTTCTAAAAAGGACGAATATTTTATATTGGGTTTTTTGACTAATTAAAGATAAGATATATCTGTGCTATTTAAAATTTAGCTTAATGATTTCTTAATTAGAATAGCATTTTTTTGAACATCTCCAAGGAAATTAATAAATATAATATTATTTTATATTTCCCTCAGTATTACTGTCTATATCAACCCTAAGTGGTTTTGCCTATCTTGTTAAATCAAAAAAGGGACAGAATTTCGATACAAATCTTATTTCAGGCCGGAAATTTGACAGTCCTGGCTTCTTTCTGATTGACCTTTCGAATTCCGCCAGAGATATGAGTTATTGTTCAATTTCACTCCAGTCGAATGTAAAATCGAAACCACGCTACAGATGCTTTCGTTTTTATTATTTCATTTTAGACTCTAGGGATGTCTTCAGGAGATAAAATATATATTAAGAATGGATCATTTTGATAAAATGAGTTATGTTTCAATATTCTGCAAAAATAACAAAACTTCTTGATTTATCTGGACTTGAACTATTAGTCTGCGGTTCTAATGGAAGAAAATTTATATTTTCAATGCTTGGTTGGCTAAAAATATTGTCTTTATTTTGTATAAAAACAACTTCCGACCTTTTTCGACCGTTTTTTTTCAGAGCTGACAATGAGTCTGCTGTTGATTTGATCTTAACATGGTTTGCAATTTCGATAATTTGATATTATTGTCGTTCTTTCTATTTATTAATATTTATTCTTTAAATTTTCTTTTTATCCATCTCTGCTTTTTCCTTCAAATGTATATTCTTGGTTTGCTGATTCCTATAAGAACAAGATTTATTTGTAATTAATGGCTATATTTTTCTGGCTTTATGGCTTTATTTTTATCAAACAAGTTTGCTACTGTAAAACGCACTTGAATATTTTTACCACTGATACAAAAGACTTAAATATATAAATCTTTTTGTTTTGTTAAATGCCACTAGGTTCTAAGTTTAACGGGAATCATTTTTCCAAAAACCATAAACTCAGTCATAAACATATTTTTTGTCATACGCTCCCAAAAACAGCTATTTTACGGACTCATTTCAGTCCGTAAAATGTTTCTTTTTCGGCCTAGGCCGTAAAGGTCGTCATGGCAACCTTTATGGACTAAAATGTCTAAATTCGTTATTTGGTTGTTTTATTTTGTCATTCGAAATTTGTCACAAAATCACATAAAATTATACATATATTTATAATTAAATTATTAAATACTAACAATATCAAAAGCTAAGTTATTTGTTTAAAGTAAGTACCTAGGTACCTATTTAAAAGAGGCTTTTAAATTAAAATATTCTTAAATTACAGTCACAAACAAGACATAATCATGTGGTACATTTTTTGGCCTAAGACAAGCATATTTTCTATACAACTCAACTGATTGACAACGTTCCCTTCGTTCACCACCGGAAACACTCTTTGATATTAGTTTTTGTATCCGCAAGGGTAACTAAAAGGCAGCTGTTGTCTTTTTCTATGATGTCTTGCACTCGTAGAGAGTACAATTCTTCTCTTCTACATGCTCCACAAAGGCCAATGACAAGAGCTACCTAAAATCAAATACAATGGAATAAGAAACCATCTATATATTTTAAAATCATTATCGCAAACTTACCTTAGTAAGTAAATAAGTTTCATCACTAGCCGTGGCCAAAAAATCACTGATCTCTTTTATGGACAAAACCTTAGACTTTTTAGGCTCGTAACCAACCGAATTCCTCTTCAAAAAGCAATAAGTTTTGGAAATTTGTCAATATAAATATCTTCTTTAACACTTAACACTGCTCTCAGCATGGAATATTTCGACCAAATTGACGATGGTTTGAATGTTTGTGACTGTAATTTAAGAATATTTTAATTTAAAAAGCTCTTTTTAAATAGGTACCTAGGGTACTTACTTTTCGTGGAAATAATTTAGCAATACATCTTCATTTACAACGAATACGCCATTTTTGTCTTTCCATTCATTAAAAACATCATATTCTTTCTGGTAAATGGCACGAGACTTCACAGGAAGTAAATCCAACACGATTTCTTTGGCCTTATTAGCAATATGTTCGGGATTTTGGAACATTTTAAAATTGTTGATGAATTTGTGTGATTTTGTGACAAATTTCGAATGACATGTCAAAATGCGATGAAATAAACAAACTCGTTACTAAGATATGAATTTATAAGCCAACTTTTTTCAAACATTATAATTTCAAATATGGAAAATTTGCAAATATGCGTTCTAAAAAACTGTAAAAAGCGTATGACAAAAAATAGTGTATGTAACACGTACCTAAATTATGTTTTTTAGGACTCATCTACTATTTCGCAAACAGTAATGATTCGTCCTAAAAAACATCATTTTAGGTACTAGTTACATAAATAGCTATAATTTAATGCATTTAAGGTTATTGTGTACAGGGTCCGGCAATAGTGCGTCAGGCATCTGTAGCTCCTAGAATAAAAAACTTGAGAATTTTGTTTAAGTGCAAACCTAAAGTATGTACCAGGATGTATTTCAGAAAAATATTTTAACTTCTATAGGGTGGCTCAAAAAAGTGTGCGTGGACCTGGACGATTTTTTTAAATGGAACACCCTGTATATAATTGCATTTTTGGCTTCCTTTCAGATCACTTTACATAACCCTAAGATATGAATAAATATATTTCGATAGTTTCAGAGATATTAAAAAATATATGAAAAATATGTATTTTTCAGCCCTTCTTAAAAAAATTATTAAAAATACAAGAACTGTTCTGAAATCAAAACTATATTAGGTATTTACTTTAGATAGTCTGTTCTTAGTTTGTTATAAATATGGTAATCGTATATCATACAGGATGTTCAATATTCTACGCCAAACTTTCTAAAATATAAATAATTTTTCTTTGTTATTTTAAATGGAACACCCTGTATATTATTTTTTTTTATTAGATGGAGAGTTAAAATGAACATTTTTGTATTTAGAGTATTTTAAAATTTTGAACGGTTTCGCAGATACGCGCAGTATTATTTCATATGGCGCTTTCAATGGTAAAATACGAGAGAAAAATCATTGGGTGACTTTGATAAAATTTACTGTGGAAAATTCCATATGAAATATAAAACCGCAAATATCTGCGAAACTGTTAAAAATTTTGAAATACTCTAAATACAAAAAATGTTCATTTTTTAATTCTCCGTCTATTGAAAAAATAATATACAGGGTGTTCCATTTAAAAAAACGAGGAAAAATTATTTTATATTTTAGAAAGTTTGGCGTAGAATTTTGAACATTCTGTATAATTTATTATTTTCATATTTATAGCAAAGTAAATACAGACCATCTAAAGTAAATACCTAATATAGTTTTGATTTCAGGACAGTTCTTGTATTTTTAATATTTTTTTTAAGAAGGGCTCAAAATATATATATTTTTGATTTATTTTTTAATATCTCTGAAACTATCAAAATATATTTATTCATATCTTAAGGTTATGTAAAGTGATCTGAAAGGAAGCCAAAAATGCAATAATATACAGGGTGTTCCATTTAAAAATATCATCAAGGTCCACTCACACTTTTTTGAGCCACCCTATAGAAGTTAAAATATTTTCTTGAAATACATTCTGGCACATACTTTAGGTTCGCACTTAAACAAAATTCTCAAGTTTTTTATTCTAGGAGCTACAGATGCCCGACGCACTATTCCCGGACCCTGTATTTATATAAATAAATCAAATGTGTGTTTTATGTATTTTAGAGTTAATGGAAAGGCTGTTCCATTAGATTTCCTTTCGAAGTCGACTAGAAAACACGCATCAAAAACACTAGAAGACGATCAAAAGTATGGAATTAGACATTTATTTTTGTACCCAAATCTTCGCTGGAAGACGATTATTGTAACATTTTTATGGTTTACCAATACTAGTGTTTATGTCGGACTATCATATTATGCACCCACTCTAGGTTTGTATTATACAGGGTGAGTCTTAAATAAGTGCAATTATTTTTAAGGGTAGTAAATTTCGACCCCAGAAACACATCTATTTAAGACACACTTGGTTAAGACTCACCCTATATAATTGTGTTATTATTAAATAAATATATCCGTCACCCATATAATAATTGTAAATCTTTATTCATAAACTACGAGTAACAAACTAGTCCAAAAATATTAGTTATTAATAATTAATTAAGGAGGATTTTTTTGTGATATACAGGATGTCTTAAATAAAAAGAAATATATTTTCTTTTTAGAGGTTTTCAAATAAAACTAAAATTGCCGAGTTATTTAAATTTTGTGAACCAATTTCTGTATTTTCGTAAAAAAATCATCTGCTATTTATGTTGAAATTTATCAAGATACGTTTTTTAACTGAAAATTAAAAAAAAATCCAAAAATTTCGCGAAAAAACCCTTATGGACGTGTTCCTTGAATCGAATTAACCACTCCCAGAATACTTGCACTTGTTTAAGGCTCACCCTGTATTGGAACTAACAAAATCCTTAAAAGTTCTCTCGTTCAAGAGTCAACTTGTTGGGTTTTCAAAAATACGTCAAAAAATTATAATTTTTTTTGGTAATGTATGAACAAAACACTTAGTAGCTACTTCTGGTCAATTAAAAATATATAAAATTAATAGCCACATTAATAGTTATGATCTAATAGGGGAAATATCATTTTATTAATAAGCAAATGTTAACTTGCTAATATTTCCAAAACAACTTTACTTTTTAGTATGTTCAAATCCTACTAACTCTAAAGAGAACGACAAAAAATACATTATTTTTGTTACAATGTCAAATATTTAAAAATCAATAAAATATAGTTTAAACTTTTGTATATAGTATTTCCGGAATATTCTTAAACGTCTTTTACATATTAAAACGAGCTTCATTCTGTATACATGAAACATCTCACTATTCATGACTCATCGCCATATAATCCATTTTCTCCACAATGGAAATTACCATTTTCCAAAACCAATCGGGACTTGATAAATTGTCCAGTATTATATTTCGACTAACTCGTAATACAGATAGTTTATGTTGCGCAGCGATTTTGATTTAACTATTTGAAGGTTTACTTTGCGAAAATTTATCGAGCATCTCTAATTGCCTGCACTAAATATTCATTTAAGATATAATAACATTTTCTATAGACTATGATATAATTAAGATTTTATAATAATTGTTAATATCTTTATGTCTATATACAGTGTCACACAAATTTATGTCAAATTTGACTTTGGCATGGGATTATGACTTAAATCTAATTCCTCAAAGTACTGAGTTTTTATACTACAGCCATCTGTGAAGAAGTTGGGTGCAGTTAACCGTGAGGTTGTCCACTTAGAGTGCCTGCATTAGTGCGTTTTATCAGTGGTTACCATATCGTAGATATTTCCGTATTTTTTTTTCTACTGATTGACTTTTTTCAATGAGGTTCCTTGTGGACAACCTGAGCTTCCGACTGTATAGTATATTTGCCACTGGTCCGCAATACCTGATTTCATTATTTCACGTTTTTGTACATGTTTTTTGTGCTCGCTAAGTCGTACATTTATAGAACGTTTAGTCCCTCCAATATACTCACCGTATTCACAAGGTACCTGGTAGATGTTTGTTTCATTGACTCTTGCCTTGTTTTTGTTAGGATGCTTCTTAGAGTCGATCCAGATTTGAAGACAATTTTAATTTCATTCTTTTTGGCTATTCGCTCGATCTTTTCTGACATTCTTTCCTTTTAATATGAAATAGTCAAGAGATTCTCCTCAGGTCGATGAACCACTGGACCAGTTTTACAAGTTGATATAATTTTGTCTAGTGACTTCTCAGAGTCACCATTCTGAAGCAAATCCATTTTAATATTATTTAATTCAACATTAAGTGATGCTTGATTACTGCGTATGGTGTTTGCTGAATAGAATAGTTTCATTGAAAACCTAAATATTGTCCCGTGTGTGTGGGTTTTCTGTATACAGATGTATCAATCGATCCCTCATGTCTACTAACAAAGACATCTTGATGATTCAGATACCAGCGTATAGAATTATATTCATTATTTTTTTTATGAAAAGAGAATGCACATATTGAGCGAATTATCGACATAAATACAAAATTAAGAATTTACTAAGTGTCTTTGTTGGCCTGTATTCAAACTTTGAATTTATACAAATATGATTTAATAATAGGTGGTGACGAGTACTTGAATTTCTTCCTTGCCGGAGCTGTCGAATTTCCAACATATCTATTTTTATGGCCTGCGATGGAAAAATTGGGTAGAAGATGGACTCTTTGCGTTAGTATGGTAGTCGGAGGATCATCATGTCTGGCCACGTTTTTAGTACAAAATGGTAAGGCTTGGTTACTTTGCTTGTAAATTATTTTTTAGTAAATATTTGACAATCTGTCAGCAATTTTTAAAATTTACTGTAAGAATTTGGACTATGCACAGTTGTCATTACCAAGTTGATATCATAGCCAATATCTCTATTTATACAAATATTTTTTTTTAAACGTCATGAAAATATTCATTTTTGCGATGTGATTGACTATACATATAAAAACCACGTTTCAACGCCTAGACAAAAGTAAGCACTATTACGCTTAGCACAATAATATACAAAAATATTATTAAATTGGCATTAAGCCTCAAATTAAAAAAAGCTAGATGGAGAACATCTTAATTATCTAAGATTCGCTGATGACATAGCCCTAGTTACCAATAGTCCTGAAGAACTACAAGCACAAATTAACGAACCAAATATAGCAACAATAGACAACAATGAGCCAAACTACAAAGAGAGTATCTAAATATGTGAGGGAGAAATGGTGTAGACTATAATGGTGTAGAGTGTAGACCATTATTGGAAATGGTTGAAAATTGTTTAAAAATTATTTGTTGTGCTTGGAAAAAATTCTTGAAACCAAGTTCTTTTCGGTTTAAAAATTAAGTAAATGAATCAAAGTCAAACGTACAGCCTCTCCAAAAATATATCATATCTACTCTTAAAAAACAATATACTGTTATTATTTCCTTATTCATAACATACATTTCGAAGTTGTTTCCAGATATGTAGAATCTACAGGGTGAGTTTCCTACGATGTTTTCTGTGGGTATCTCGGAAACTACTGGAGATAGAGAGTCGGTTAAATGGGTAAAGAATTGCAGTTTTGTGGGGTCATCAATATGCACCTTTCAGATTTATGAAAAACTTCATGGCTTACTAGATATTTCGAAAAAAAAACAAATTTTGGCTATTTTGAAAATTGTCTATAATTCCATTATAATTTATTTTAGACAAAAAGTTTTCAGATAAAAGTTGTAGATAATCACATCCCTAATGAGTTTGTGTTCTCCGATTTTTTCTAAAGCCTGTCATTTTTGACATATGACACAAACATATGTTTTTTTTAAATGAAAACCGCAGTTGGCCATGACTTCATAAAAAGCGCCATTTTTTAAGTTTTTCAGCGATATAAGCTATAATATGATTTTTTCAAAAAGTTACCGAGTTATAGCCTCGGTTATAGCCAATTCTAATCTTTCTTGACTAATTTCACTTAGTTGGCATGGTATTTTTATTTTGTTGTGATTTATAACTTATAAAAAGACAGAATATTTTATTAAACGGTTGTTTACAATTTACATTACACAAACTAAAACTTAAAAAACTAATATCACCGCATACACTTTAAGTTATTTTAGCAAATGTTCAAAACAGCCGCCATGGTTTTGTACATAAAATGCCTCTTTTTAAAACTGAATCACAAGCTTTTTCCACAGAATGGCCGATCAACTTTAATGAACTTCTCCCGTACCGCCTCTTCGAGTGCCTCTCTTAATTCATAAGTTCTTTTGTAAACCTTGTTGTTAACCACGCACCGCATAAAAAAAATCTAAAATGGATAGGTCAGGTGATCGAGGAGGCCCATGCAATTGGTCCACCTCTTCCTATCCCTTAATTTGCATAATTATGATATAAATAATTAATTTTTAACATTTCTTTCATTATGAGGGGGAGTGCCATAATGAAAGTCATGTTGGAACCACTCTATTGATGCGCGAGTGTCTAAATTTAAATTTAAATTTTCTAAAAAACGTAAGTAACGTTCACTGGTCAACATATCCTCGTATGGCCAAGAAAAGTTGAACCAATAATCCTACACGCTATTCTTCATTTGAAAAATTCATATTTACAATTTTTGTTTATTTTAATTTACAAAGTTTGGATGTGACAGTTTCACATTACTGAGAACAACGACGATTGACTTGTTTCCATAGCTAACTAAGTAAAATTGTTTAAAAATGATAAGAATTGGCTATACCTCAATAATTTTTCGAAAGAAACATATTATAGCTTATATCGCTGAAAAGCTTAAAAAATGGCGCTTTTTATGAAGTCATGGCGAACTATGATTTCCATTTAAAAAAACATATATTTGTGTCATATGTCAAAAATGACAGGGTTTAGATAAAAACGGAGGGTATAATCTCATTAAGGATGTGATTATCTACAACTTTTATCTGAAAACTTTTTGTGTAAAATAGATTATAATGGAATTATGGACAATTATTTAAAATAGCCGAAGTTTGTTTTTTCGAAATATCAAGTAAGCCATGAACTTTTTCAAAAATCTGAAACGCGCATGTTTATGACCCTACAAAACTTCAATTCTTTCCCCATTTAACCGACTCTCTATCTCCAGTAGTTTCCGAGATACCCATAAAGAACATCGTAGGAAATTCACCCTGTATAAATCTTAAAGGCATTAAAATACATTTTACGCTATAATAAACAAATCGAATCAATAGCTAAGCTATTTGGAGCTAGCAAAACCCGATATGGTAGCAATCAAAAGTTTACTGTACGTTTATATAGCCTCCTGAACAGCTCCCAATGTTAACTTACGTTCTGTACGTTCTCGATTTAATCGTGTATTAATTAGAAATAATTCTACATAACCTCCACCGTGCTGTGCTTAATAAGTTCACGTTGAATAATTGAAATGTGTGCGGCTTTTCAAACGAACCTAGATACAAACAGTAATAAGTCTGTGTGTATTTAATTCAGAATTTTCAAAGAGCCTCGCGAGTCTATTGTTGAATTATTTGAGCCAGTTATTAAATTAATATACGTTCGTATTAATATACGATAAGGAATATTGTAAATTAATAAGAAAAGGAGTTGTGTATTTTCCCTTTACAATATTAGCGAAAACGTTATTTAACGGTGAATAATTTTCTTGAAATTTAATACTAAATATTAATTAATTATTTTTTTTTTGGGAGAATACAAACAAATGTAGCTTTACAAATATAGGTTACAAACAGTAATAAATCTTTTGAACCATTCAATTCAGAACTTTCTAAAGAGTTACTGAACCTATTATTAATTGATTTGAAATGATTATTATATTGCGTTATATAAATTAGACTTAAGTTTGTAATTAATGCAATTTTTTATCGATGGTATACCGGGTGCGTCTCAAAAGTGGTTCATCCCAATAACTTTTTTATTTTTTTCAGATAAAATACGAGATTTGGTGTGTTAGTTTATGACATAAATTAGGATTGATTGATGTAGTCAATTGTTTTTGTTTCACCGGAAATGACTACAATTTTTGATTTTTAAATAGCATCTTCCATAGTTTTTTACTTCATTTGATAGGAAATGACAATCTGAATTGAATGACATATCATATGTCAACTTTTAACATTTTCGCATATGGTTTATTTGAAATTGTAACGTGCTATTCATAACGACAATTTGACTCGATATACCAAGTGAGTGGTACCTAATTATTCGTAAAAAAATGCTTTTTCCAAATATGCTAATGAGCCATCTTCGTTCCATTTGAAAAATTGAGATATGATTAAAAATATGATTTGGACATCTTTTAACAGGCCAGGACAAAACACGAAAAACATTAGACGATCAAATCTATTTTTCCATGGCTCCTTGATTAAAAATTATTGTTTTTAACGCAACCATGGCAATTTAGATTGAAATTTAAAATACAGTATTTTTTTAAGCTAAAATTTGAAAAGTTGACATATGACATGTCCGAGGATATGTCATTCTATTCAGAGTATTATTTTCTATCGAATAAAGTAAAAACATACTGAAGGTGTCATTTAAAAATCAAAAGTTGTAGTCATTTCCGGTGAAACAGGAAGTGGCCAAAAACAATTAAATACGTCAGTCAATCCTAATTTATGTTATATACTAACATACCAAATCTCGTTTCTTTATCTGAAAAAAATTCAAAAAAATAGAGGTGAGCAATAATAACAATAAAGTGGGAGTCTTTTTTTGAGACGCGCCCGGTATATTACGAATATTTGGTTTACAAATATAGTGACTCTAAAATGAGGATTCCAAATCTATCTGTTTTTAAGCGTATATTATGCAAAATTATTTTTTCTTTAATGTGGTAGACAATGATAGGTAATATGATGATTATACTAAAAGAATTTTGAACTTCTATTGTCTTTTATTTCATTTAGCTTACACAACGTTTCGGTTAGTCAAATGTAAATTAATCTAATAATCTAGTGCAAGGCATTGGCCCCAGAAACACGTCCATGAGTTATTTTTCGCGAAAAAAAATTGAAAATTAGGTATTTTTTGAAAAAAAATTGGAAATTTCTTTAATGTTTAGTTAGAAAACATAATGTCTTAATATTATGGCAATATAAATAATAGATTAAATTTACAAGAAAGAAAACCCAGAAAAGATCCAGTGGTTCTCAAAATTTAAGCAATTTTTTTTTAAATCATCAATGTAAAATATCTCGGTTATTTTGGACTTATTTGAAAGCCGGTAAAGAGAAAATATATTTCTTTTTTTTTAGATCTACCAGTCCTGAAAATATTTGCACTTATTTATGAATCCCCCTGTATATTACCGTACAGAAAAATTCCTTAGAAAATGTCTGTTTTTAAAAAATAGTTTTTTAAATGTCGAACTATTTTAAGAAGCATTTTAACAAAAACAAGACCTGACGAATCGAAACATGAGATAGTATATTTATATTAGACCTAAAATAGCCGAATAGAAGAAAAAAATTATAAAGTTTTGATATGTTGAGATTAGACGCACCAACAGGAGACTTTTCAAAATCTAAAGAGTTCTTAACTTTAAAGGGTGAGCTTCACCCCAATACGTCCTTTGATGGTTTTTCGCTTTTTTCTCAGAACCCGTTGGTCCCACAAAAAATTTTACTTACCGCAAATATTACCTACAAAATTTGCTACAAAAAAGGTTCTATTCATTATTTATATTAATTCAATGCATTTCGAGCAATAACCGTTTGAAAAATGGAATACAAAAAAATACAGACCGCCTT